GGCCGACATACATACATACATACATACATACATACATACATACATACATACATACATACATACATACATACATACATACATACATACATACATACATACATAATGCCATCGCCGTCGCGTATTATGCCCACTCAAATGAAAGGCAAAATACCAGTCTCGCTGTAGTCCAGTGCAAGTGTAACTTTCCCTCGTTGTTCTTCATTTGGTTCCAAATAAACTCAAATAGTGGAGCCCTTGGTGAACCGGAATTACCTCCGAGTACACAGCCTTTGGTATTACAATACAAGTCTATGACATCAACATATCGCTACCATAGAATTCTAACAGCCAGGTTCCTAGTTTTGAGAAATTTGACGTTAAACAGTATAAGTTGCGCAACTTGTCAAGCTTTTTCAAATTTAATTTTTAATATCTTGATAAGTACTCTGAATGTTTTTACAAATTTAGTAGAGCATATAAAGTAATTGGTTTCTGACCTCATGATATTAGTAACTCAAAACGGCCAAAAATGTCAGATAGCATTTTGTAATTCTAAGGTAGCAATAATGCTGTGAGAACGGCTACCCACCTGGCTGAGGTTAGAGAGCAAACAGACCCCTTAGCGTTATCCGGAGCACTTTTTATGCAAACAAAAGCCAAACCTAAAGACGGACATCGTGTATCCGGCATATGTGTAGATAAACATCTGACCATAATGGGGCATGTTTTTTTGTGTCTTTTTTATTTCGTTGTCCTGTTAAATGACAATTTTGAAACCATTCCAAATTCCCCTTTTGGCTAATAGTAAGACGATTCCAATAACCAAAACAATAGTTACGACCAGTATACCCACAGCGAGCCCTGCCATTGAGCCATCTGAATATGAACCAGAGTCCTGGCCCGTCCTCGACTCCTGATTTCCTTGTTTTTGCCTCCAAGCGTTCTCCGCCATAGAGTAAATGTCACACCCATCTTGCCTCACCAGAGATGGTGTTTGTCCTGATATGTCTGTGTCTAAGATACACTGTAGATTTGAGGCGCAATAACTGAATCTATGACAGTTGTCAACATCGCTAGAGCAGGCCTGTGCGCATTGCTGAGGACTATCGCCATCTATCAGCACAAGTTTGTAATCGCCTTTATTGATGTTGTTAAACGTAACAGATGGAGATTTGTTGTAGTCAAGAAGATCGTTTCTGGAGTAAAACGAACAATTACTTTTGGAAGAAACAGCGGACGACACGGCGCTCACGTTGTAATGAGTATCACCTAGACTGCAAAGTTGTGGCGTGGCACAGTATACTAGCGACTGACAAGTAAAAGATGTCTCGTCAATGCACTTTTTGGCACACCTCGAGGCGCTTCCCACGTCACTGAAGAGTGGTGGGTTCTTTGGAACCGATGTTAGACCTGGAGCTTTCTTGAACCCAACCAAATAGTCTCGTACGTTTGTACTGCATCCTATTCTAACATCCGTTGGCGCCTTTGAGAGATTGTCATATTTACTAAGCTGGCATTTCTTATTTAAAGGACAGAAGAAATACGATGTACACTGGTAGGATATCCTGTTTAGACACAACTTTGCACACTCTATTTCAGTATCAACGATAATGCTTTCTTGAGAAACGAAATTTTTTGGCACTTTATTGTTCAGCTTATGAAACTGGCTCAGGTCACTGTCTTGGCTCTGAACCAGATTTGAATCTGCCTTTATGTCACTGAGGTGTTTGCTAGTCAAGATTGTGGTTTGTATTTTTGAGGGGATCTTGAATTCTATTTTTAAAGGGCTGTCGACCCCACGCTGAAGATTATCCCATGCCTGGTCTAGAGAGAGACTGAAGTTTTTCTGAACGTTTCTTTGAAAGGCTTCTGTCTCCGGGGCAAGCAGAGACGCATACCAATGGAGGGCGCTTCCGTTAGCAACCACACGAATCTCTGTCCACGTGACCTGAATAGGACTGACATTTGCGGCTTTAACAACCGCCTTAGCTATGCTCTGATGCATGAACGCTTTCCCCACACTCCTTGTGAGGTTTTCCAGATTGGATCCTGAAAATTCAATGCGAAGCTCTTTGATTGCTTTTTCTTCTTTACAAATACTTATATCGAATGGGTCCACTTTGTAGCGAGGATAAGCTCTCATCCCCATTATGTTGTGTTCTACAACACTTAACTCTTGCTTGGTAACCACAGCGACGACATGGCCTTTGATTGCTGAAGGCTTAAGTGGGATTGTAGTTCTGGGATTAGCGAAAAACACGTCAATGTGAGTCGCCTTTGAACCCTGACCCATAAGGATACGAGACCATTGGTCACACCTGAAACCTCTATTCAAAGCAATACCTGTGTATGTGAAGTTGCCTTTCAATAGAAACAACTCCTGAGGACCCTTTATCGCCATCAGATCTTGGTTTGTCTGTACATCGAAGCCTTCAGATAAACTCAACAAGTCACAGCTTCCACGCTCTTGGTCAATCTCGTACCGCATTCCAGTATTGAAGTCATCAACAGTACTAAACTCCACCCTGTCTTGCCTGACCAGCATTAAGTCTTCATCATAATACACATCAACACCCAGTATCGTGTTTTCTACAACAATTTCATCTGTATAGAACATTGCGGTTGGAAGTTCTGGAATTGGTTTCGTTTTCACGTGTTGTGAGTCATTGCACTGCATCCCTGATGGAAGCGAAAAATCTTCCTCCATCAAACTTGCATACACTCGAAGGTTCAGGTACTCGTAGATGTGATGCAAATTGACAGTGACCCCGCCTCCATAGTTTTTGATGCCCTTAAGCTCTGCCCTTAGAGGGATAATACTGGGTGAGTACCTGTCCCCAGCTGCCCATCCGGGTCTTGTGAAAAAATAGTCCAGGGTGAAATTGTCGTGGTCCTCTCCCCAGTACATACAGGAGCGCCACTGATCCACCTCCACGCCGTCTATGGTCGTGTTGCCCATGTACGTCTCACCCAACTTACTGCCGAACCTGTTCCAAAAAGAAATACGTGTTATGCCTGGGCTATTCTGTCGTGCCAAGGCAGAGCGACGTATCTGCACTTTTTATCATTTTAAGTTACGTCGTGCTCCCATTGGAAATATGGGCATGGCCCTTCAGTTACGTCTGTTTGCCATAGTTAAATTATCCTGTTTGTTGTGCAGATACGTTTTCCTGCCTTGGACACAAGATGCAGAATGGGTATAGGCGTCCATTTAAACGAAGATACAAAAAATGAGGATTTTTGCTGATACGTCGGTCTGCCTTAGCACGGCAATATTCTATTGTAATTGACGGGACTGAAAAAGAATTCTTCATTTGTCCCGTCAGTTCGTGATACTAAACACGTCACAGAATTCACAGAAAATCTTTTTTTCAAATGACTGCATTTTATATGATTCTTAATATGTCTTTTAAATGTTCTGATAATTTAAAGTTGAAATAAATTAATTGATACTGAATTACAAGGTTATCATTGTAAGAAAGTATAGTCCAAATGTCCGGTCAGTTACAGTGGAATAGCCCGCTATTGAACCTGCACTGTTGAGGGGCTGTAGGCGCATTTGCATTTATGCGTTAATCTACAGAGTGTGTATAGATGTTGATGTACATGCAGTTTACACAGAGATGAATGTGTAGTAAAACGCTTTGAGCTGTATTGTACGGGGGTGCGCGCTATAAAAATGATCATCATCATCATCATCATCATCATCATCATCATCATCATCATCATCATCATCATCATCATCATCATCATCATCATCATCATCATCATCATCATCATCTTATAATAATAATAATAATAATAATAATAATTATTATTATTATTATTATTATTAGTATTATTATTATTATTATCGTTATTATCATTATCATTATTATCATAATCTTTAATATTATCATTATTATTATCATTATTATTATTATTATTATTATTATTATTATTATTATTATTATTATTATTATTATTATTATTATTATTAATATTATTATTATCATTATTATCATTATTATTATTATTATTATTATTATTATTATTATTATTATTATTATTATTATTATTATTATTATTATTATTATTATCATTATTATTAGCAGTATACTGGACCACCCCACGACGAAATGACAGTAAATGTTTTACTGACCGCGTCGACACAAATTAAGTAATTACAGGGCGGGCAGGTTAAGCCCTGTCTATTATTTCCACAGACCCTCATACATTATGTACCTTAACAGTTCAATCAATGATGACATATACAGCACATAATAAAGATAATAATATGACTACCGTAAATTAGGACTAAAATTCAAGATGACCTTTATGATGTTTAAATTAGTTTTGAATGATGCCCCCATCTTTGAACTCCTCAAATGCTGTAGAAACGTTGCTACCTCAGAATTTACAAAGGTCTTTCTGCTCAGTACATTGTTTTGAAAAATTTGACGTCTAAGATTTTGAGTTTCACATCCTGTCAAGCTTCTTCAAATGCAATTATTTAAATATCTTGATAACGACTCCGAATAATCTTACGATTTTGATAGAGCAGATAGAGAATTTGGTTTCTGACCTCATTGTCTCAGTAATTCAAAACGGTCAAAAATGTCAGATAGAACTTTGTAAATTTGAAGTAGCGATCTAGTTACGTCATTCCGTTACCTGAATATATCCCTAGTGGAGTAAATATGAGGCATTCTGGTATTGCTCGAGTGAGCACCACCAAACACTAGCAAGTTGTCCGAGTGACTTGTATTGAGCTGCTCGATGTTGCAGGTGAACGCAGTCTTTGCCATGTTTTTGTAAGAGTAGGAAGCAAAGTAATTGTTGCCATAGTCCAGAATGATGCCTTCCTCAAGCCCGTCTGACACCATGATCATTTTCATTTTATCCAAGCCGTAGTCGTAGAGTTCCTTGGCCCACATCGTGTACTGATTTCTTGTGTCAAGAATAGAAACCTGCAAGTATGTCCGTGGTTAGCTCAGTTGCATAAAAACGTTTAAGAGCTCTTTAATAGTATATATTGATTTTGTATCCTACCTAATTCATGATAATTAATTCATACTGTAGGCTGCCAAAAACGATGCTGTTATATCAGAAATATTCTCTCTCACCCTATCTCTCTCTTTCTCTGTCGCTGTCTCTGTCTCTGTCTCTGTCTGTCTGTCTGTCTGTTTGCCTGTCTGTCTGTCTGTCTGTCTGTCTGTCTGTCTGTCTGTCTGTCTGTCTGTCTGTCTTCCTCTCTCTCTTATACGTAAATATGATATTTGAGATATGCATGAGATCCGTCTTCTTCGGCATACGTCCTCAATGCGGAAGTACTTTAATGCTGACCAGAATGAAGCCTGTTAGTTTGCAAGCCACAAGATAAAGATTCTCGAAACGCCTATCGCACTACTTAACTGCTCATAGCACATGCAGACGCAGTTTTCTATCAGTGCTTTGATAAACTGTAAACTTATCAAACAGCTATTTTCACATTGTGGAGAAGAGCACTTGAATAATGTAATGGAGCCCTGAAGACCAGCAAATACTGAAAAGGAATTGTTTCTTTTTGAGGTTGGAATAAACTGTGTGCCCCTCCGTTTTTCCTTCCATCTTAGCATCCATTTATGATCTATCCAACAAACCCATAAAACCATATGGTATTCATTCATTCACCTTTTAATTCGTTCGCCCATGCACCCATAAACCTATCTCTCGCTTTCTATCTTACTTTTACTGTCTATCTATCTATCTATCTATCTATCTATCTATCTATCTATCTATCTATCTATCTAGAGGGAAGTAAACAACTTATATACTAATTATTTTGGTAACATTTCTTAACTTATGTGTATAGACTGTAACCGATCACACAAAACATATGCCAAACCTGATATTCCATCGTGAAGGCCGTGAAGAGAAAGACAGGAAGGCGAGGGTCCGAGGGTTTGGACTCGCCCTTGGTGCAGTACTCCGCTGATGACTGTGACGTCATTGCCAGCACCAAAGCGACACATACCAGCCTCACTTGACTATTCTGACTCACGACCACCATCTTGACGCGATTCAACTTCCTGTTTGAACTGCTCACTGCTGAATTTCTCTCGAGTAGTCCCTAATCACTTTTGGAACTTCCATTGCGAAGTGATTGGTGCATTTTAAAAAGTTCCTTTTGGAGAAAAAAAATCAACAAGATAATGGTCGACGGCTCTCAGTGCCAATTTTGCTGACAATGTTCATGTTGAAGGACATGTCCATTTAAGTAGATACTATGCTTGCTGGAGAATATAGGAGTTGGTGTACCTTTGTTTCTCTTTGATTGAGTAGATGATGCTCTGGGAAAAAAAGAAAGAGAAATTCATAGAGTTATAACGTGAGCTCTGCACTGTTCACGGTTTAACAAAAGTTAAAATCAAGTCGAATTTCCTCTCAACAAACAAAGTAAAAGAAAAGCGACAAAATTTGCCCCTAAATATCTCCGCCCCATGCTCTCAGTGAACACGCGATGAAAAAGCAATTCACATCAGAACAAGCCTCGACAACATAAACGAGTACTTTATACTTCTGTATTTCACCCAACACCCAACAAATTTTGGCTTATCATATCCATTGGCACAGCCCAATTTTGAAGAAAATGTGCTGTACGTGTGAACCCACATGTACATAGCAGTTGCGTTGTGAAAAAAATACGTTTAAATGTCGATGGAACTCTAAAAGGTGCACTTTTAGCATTGTGTTTTGATAAAAGCAAAACCATTTACGCATCAATATAAAACATCGCCAAATAGTATGTGAGGAGAAGACGAAAAGAGGAGGGCAAATATAAATTAAAAGCCACTTTCCTTTCTGTAACCTTTACTGCAGGGTATAATTTTAGCTCAGGGCTTATCATATTAGACAATGGTGTGAATGACCAAGGTTAACATCCTGAACAGAGCGTTTTTGAAGTTGTAATTCATGGGGAGTTTTTACAGATCTCCATGATCTTTCCTCTGTCCTACAGGAAAAGAACGTTTAACTTTTTAAGGACGTACGAAGCGGACATATACATCCGAGCACCAAGCAGACCAAACTCAGCATATTATTTTGAACCATTATACACAAATTAGAAACACAAGTTTGCCCTTTTCATATTATGCACCCCCTTGCCTACCTATTAAAATATCAGGTCAATCACAAAAGTACGAATAAATAACGAACGCATGGTTAATTCTAAAGTGTACCAAAACAGTACGTCTTCAAGGATTGTCGAATGAACGGAAAGATCGTCTTCAGTGAAGTTTGAAATCCACCTCTTTAATAGCCTTGCGGGCGTCAAATCTAAATCAAGACTTACCTTTCCTGTGAAAAAATAACAGCTTGAAGCATTTCCTTTTGAACTTATAGATTCCGATATTGCTATGGGACGCACAATTAATACTGTCCTATCTAATCAAACTACCACTAAGTAGTGGCAACATGTAGGTCTGGTTCCGTGTATTCAATCGATGTCCCCTCCTCTCT